TTCTCCAAGTAAAAACACCCGAAATAGGAAAATGCCTTGGTTTTAAATGGCTGCCCCTTTTTTTCTGCAAGTTTTCCTGAATTTTAAATCTTGCATGCTTGATTCTGGGCTGTCGACCAAATGCCTGTGATGTAGCATTTTGTTATTCAGCTCTGCTACCTTCAGCACAAAAGCTAACTTGTACATTAGAATGGTATTTAAATATGGGTTCATATTGAGCAGTTATTTATTAGGTATACTCGAAGTGTCAGGTGGGTTCTTCTTGTGGCAATAATCTAGTGTCAACCAAGGCAAGCTTGCATCAACTGCATAAGGTCCAAGAAACTGAATACTGCTTGATCGGACTTCACTTTCTTTGGAGACATGCTGCTCAAAAAGTCATTAGAAGAGAGTGCACTTCAGAAACTGATTGAAGCCTGTTTATACCAGTCGCAGGAGTGGCAATTCTCAGTTACATAGGTTGTATAATATGGATAAATTATATTATTTACTGACAAAACTGTGAACGGTGACACACTATATAAAATTGAACATGTCTTAAGTGATGATGGAAGCTTGTAAAATTAATATTGCCCTTAGTAGGAAGGTGTTCTGAATTAATTATCGAAGAGCCGCAAATAGTGAATGAGATGTCTTCATCTATTTCATGGAAATCTGATTATATAACCCCTGAATTTACTTGAGGATGAGTTTTCAAGAGAGTTTTCAAGAGAAATATACAAATTAAAAAGGGTTTCTGGATGAACAATCGTAATGAGATAGAAAAAAAAATTTGACATCAGAGACAAACAGTTGTTGGTGCGGGTCATAGGAATGTGCGGACAATACGCTAATTTTTAATGCTTCCGGTATAGTTGTAAAACTTTAAGTTGGATTTAACAGAGGCGATAAGATCCACTAAAGATACTCTTCAAACAATCTCTACAATAACTCATTTATTTCGTACAGATTGCTCATTATAATTAGTGACTTCTATGCTCTCGATGAAAGCCGATGCAAATCGAAAACGTATCTACAAAACTCGATAGCAAAGCTTTTATCTTGTTTATACTCTTACTTCCTTACCTTGTCAATTTCACTGCTTGTTTCTTGGTTTAGTTGAAAAAAATAATTCCCACTTACATGGGTAATGAACTTGAAAATTAAATAATTGAATTGTGAAAAAGCAGGCTTTTGAGCAAATCATACGGAAAATGATGCCGACATGTTTATTTCATGGCACCGGATAAGGAATGATGCAATAGTTCTTTATTCGACGCATCAGTGAAATATTCGTAGCTGGCACTGTCTTGAGTTACAGAGTATTTCCCGTTTCAAGCGATTTCTTCGACTCAGTAGATCTCAAGATATCGATTTTTTTTTTTTTGAGAACAGATTTTTACAAGTGGTATCATTCACAATAAAACATCGAAAACAAGAAATGTGAAAATTTATTCATTGCACGCTGAAGGATCTCATGTCAACAAAAACAATGGAGGAACTTTGTGTGAGTCGACGATTTTGTTTTGTGGTTGGGTGCTGGTTATCTGCCGCGCGGGTAATCGGCCGGAAATTACAGTAACCGTTTCCTTTTAAATTCAATTAATCTCCTTTAGTGAAAACTATCTCTGAAGGAAAAGATTGCGGCAACCTATGTATCAGACTGAAAATTCCAATGTTTCAACCTAGTCAAAATGTGAAAGAGTTAATTGAGAATTGCTGGGAAATCTTTACGAAACGATGCATGGGAGGAAACTAAGACAACAGTTTTAGTTGTCAATGCTAAAATGTAAGTCATCCAAAAAATTTGAGCGGGAAGTACACGTCAGCAAGGTATTGAATGTGATTCAATTAAAGTGATTATGAGATTGTCAAGGGTCAAGTCTGTCATTTATGTAAAAGTTAATTTTAACCATCTAGTTTTTAAGTATACTGCTTGGTTAATTAATAAACGGGCTTACACTTATTAAATTTTTACTGGTATGTCGTATGTTTGTAGAAGTTTTAATCATGATTTGCCAAATCAAACGGCACTGACTATGGCATAGAATGATTCAATGTAATCACGGAGTGACATAGAAACAGAATGCTCAGGTTGATTTATAAGCCAAAATAAAATTGTTGTGATGAGTGTTTTTAACCCTAGACGGCGTAGTTTGATTTAACCGATCAGGGTTTTTAGACCATTTGAATAGGTTTGTTAATACCCGACTTGTCATGCAGAGAAATTCAATGTTTGGCCATGTTTAATCATGGTCAGTTTTAGTTAAAATCTTGGTTGACAATGAACTGTCATGCTTCAATTGAGTAACTTGACTGTAGTTGACCATGGTCTATCACAGTCTATCATGATCTAGTTTGTTTCACTGCTAAGGCCAACCATGTTTAAACCTTTTTTTTCCATTTATAGTTGTTCATGGTAAAACAATGATGTACTGGCAAGCCATATTGGCCACCAGTTATGGCCATGGTTGACTAATGATATTAAGCCTGCAAACATAAACTATTGTTTTACTATATACAATAAAAAGATGGGATCGCATAAAAGGAGTACTCCTGTTACATTTTAAGGGCGTTCAGGTTCCTATCAAGCTGGTAAATGAAGAAACAAGTTTTGAAGTGATGGATCCCAAAGGCAGCAATGATTGTGGTGTTTTACAATGGGCTGGAGGGGGGTCAATAAACACCTTCTTCTGAAATGTGGCATATTAAAACACGTCCTTATACAATTTGGTATGTTTTGGAACACTCTTTTTGTCACTTTCAAGCATTCTTGAAGCCGGTTCCTTTTGAAATCTGCTTTGTTGAAACCAAGTTGCTTCATGCTAAGGATTTTTAGCCAGATACACAGTGGTTGATCATGTAGATATGAGATTGTACGTGTCTTTTTGTTTTGTAAACAGATATTTGTCATCTTCCTCTCGGTTGTGTTACTTATCGCAGAAGCCGTTCTGTTGCGATTGATTCCTTCACTGCCAACTCCTCCACAAGGTAAAAATGCAAGGACTTACAGTAATTTATATTATACGTGGTGCAGTTGGAGTGTAATTAGTGATATTTACACCTAACAAACCTTCTAACGAGACAAATTCCTTCCAATTTTTTCCTAGATCAATCAAGGACAGAGGTAGCCACCAACTGTTCCTCAGAACTGTACGTTCTTTTTCTCAAAACACACAAAGCAGGTTCAAGCACAATTTCGAACATTTTCTTTCGTTATGGCGATTCTCGAAATCTTTCCTTTGTTCTTGGCTCGGAAACTCTAATTGGTTGGCCGACACGATTCCGTATTGGACAAGCTCTCGCTTTCGATGGAACTCGGCCAAACTTTCTTTGCAGTCACACAAGATTCAATAAGAAAGCCATGAACCATTTGTTTCCAAAAGACGCCAGCAAATATGTGACAATCGTCAGAAACCCGGTCAAACAGTTTGAGTCGATTTTTAACTACATGCAAATCGGAACTGTGTTCGGTTTTGGGACAGATCCATCCGAATCATTGAAAGCCTTTCTAAAGAATATAACAGGGTTTGATATCCTCAGAAAAAGCGGAAGTTCTGTTTTAGCCAGAAATCCACAAATGTTTGATCTAGGTTTGGATTTCAAGTTTTATCAGGATGCCAAAGCCATTAAAGAGTACATTGAATTCCTGGAAAAGGAGTTTGATTTGGTTTTAATCGCAGACTATTTTGACGAATCTGTGGTTCTTATGAAGCGATTACTATGCTGGGAATTGGACGATGTACTTTTTGTAAAAACAAACGAACGGCTTGACAAAGACAAAGCTGCTGAAATATCAAATGATACGAAAGAGAATATCAGACGGTGGAACAAAGCCGACGTGTTGCTGTACGAACACTTTAACCAAACTCTTTGGCAAAGAATCGAAAGGGAAGGAAAAGACTTTTACGATGATCTTACGAACTTTCGTCGAATGAAACAGGAACTTAAAACTAAATGTTTTGAAGACAAGCCAAGTAAGCAGTTAATTTATGGCAACAAGTATGCTAAAGGTTTGACTTTAAGATCGGATTTGCCTTCTGATCTAAAACAAAAATGTGAAAGAATGACACGAACTGAAAATAATTATCTGGCATATTTAAGGAACAAGCGAGTGGCAAAATTAGTTGGTATTCATGTCGCAGCACCAAATGAGGATGATCAAGAAAAAGTTAGTTGGGACGCGGCGAGCGATTATAAATATTTTCCTGTATAAAGTAACCAATTGTGAGAGACTATTAACACAAGTTATATATTTCGTATATTTCGTGGTGAAATGAAATAGTCTTAACGTAGATATTTAGAAAACGCGAGAACACTTAAGGAGTGTTTGTGTGAGTCGGATGTCTAAATATTCACATTTACTAATACTACATGTCCTTGAAAAAGTTGTTCTTTTCATTCTGTGATGCGTAAAACCAATGGTATAAAGTACCATGAAAACCTAAATTTCATTTAATCTAAATTGAAAGTTAGCAAGTGAGTAAAATTGCAAAAAATGTTTTTTAAGGAGTTAAGACTTCTTGATATAGTTTTTTTACCATTTGAATCAAAAAAGAGATATGGAAATTTGCAAGTGCTGCCGGGAAGGCATGCAACGCCTTGCCCAGCACGAGGTGCTTATACAAATATATATGGAAGTAAAGTGCATTGGCAAAGTAAAATTTGGAAATCAGTCTTAATTAGGTGGTAGGCAAGTTGATTGTTCTGGAGATATCTCTCCGTCATCCTCTGATGTTTTGGCCGCGTGGCAAAGTTTTTTTTTCCAATTGCAAAACTACGGGTTCCACTTAAAATGTTTGTCGATGACAGGTTTTCACCACAAAGTAAACACATTTTAGCTAAAAGTTCCCAATCGCAACATCCAAGATTCCACCAGCTAATTGAGTTTTAAAAGGGGTCAGGAAATGGAGGCTTTTTAGTAAGTCAGTCGACCGGGAATCCTAAGGAACTTAAGCAGCGCCTTTGCGTGCGTTCTTGACCACTGTGATTTTATGATAAAAGTTGCCTGCAAGGCCGTTATGACCTCCACTGGAGCAATTATCATAAACCGAGGTATCCAATAAGAAAAAGGAGTTTCTTTGTAACTATACCAAATTCATATTAGGTGAGTGAAATAGAATGTCCGCCGCTGTATTCGACTCACGCCACCGATCTATTGTTTCAATTCCGGCCGTCAAGCACAATGCCTGCAAAACACATTATAATCATCGTATCATTTACAAGAGGATAATTCTTTGTTCACTTTACTGCTTTTTTTTTCTTTGCTCTTTTGAACTTTTTAATGAAGATCCTGGAGTGTGGAGTGAGATATTAGTGAGTGTCGCAACAAAACCTGAACCAAAACAAAGAATCAATTACCAACCCAGAGTGTTTTACACGTGGACACCGTGAAGCTGTCCGATTTGGTGACGCGATAGATTTACACGTGACTTCTAACCAATTTCTAAATATTGCCTTAGATAAATTATCTGAAAATACTCAAGATCATTTCTTTTGCTGTATCCTGTTTTGTTTTCAAAATGTTCATGGGCTGATCTTTAACAACTGAAGAAAACCGCTGGTTAGAGTCGATTTTATCACAGTTAACAATAACTTATTTCCAGGTCTTTATCAGTTCTCTGAAGCATCAGGAGGAATGTTGATAGAAACACGGAGGTGTTTGGTGAGTTTTTCATTTGTGTGTCAAAATTACAATAAGAATTGATATCCATGTCAAAAAATATTCCAAATTAGCCTCAGATTTTCCTCATGTTATAACATAGGCATGTCACTCTAGCCTTATCCGGGGGGGAGGCAGGCGGGCGGGAACTGACTTCATTGCCCATGAGAGCGTTCTTCTTTATTCAGAGAGTCGTCGTTTTGAATAAATTCGCTCATATGAGTACCTGTTTCACATTCCTAGCTACCACCGGTTCTTAAGTAAACTAGGATTGCAATATCTTAGCCTTTCATGCATTCTAATGACACTTTCCATTTTGTTTTCTCAGTTCCTTGCCATTATCTTCACAATCCTGTTGCTTATAGAAATAGCCATGCAGTTGGAATTAACTCCCTTGATACCGGTTTTTAAAAGATCTCTACAGGGTAAGACCATTGGGAATCATATGACCATATATGAATTATGAATTACTTTAAGGACCAATCACTTAGAAGTTGTTTCTGAAACATCCAGCCCTGACATCGTAAAAATAGTTTTTGGTTAGTTATCGTGATAAATAACACTTTCAGAGGAGAAATTTCATCGTTTGTCTCACGATGTGGTCATTTTGAGTGAGGATCGTGACGCTTCGATTGCATACTGCTAATCTTCTTCAGCCGATGAGGTCTAATGAGTACGCGTCGCCCATAAGCTGTCGTGCTCGGTTGTGTTCCGCAAAGATATTTGCCTAAAATTACAATCTTTCGCTTAGCTCTTGAATTTTCTAAGAGTGTCTTAAAATATACACTTTGCAATGCTGCTCTAAATTACTCTAGAGCTATATTTTCGAAATCGGCGTGGACGCTGACGTTTGCATACTTAGGCTGTGAGTATTCTGATTAAAGGTTACTTCTTTGTTTAATGATCGAAAAATTCTTTTTCTTTCAGCCTGCTAATTGCAACAGATCTGAAGCTCGTTTCTTTATCTTTTTAAGGTTATTTTCAAAAACCGCTAAATTGTGTCGCACGTTGTTCACTGATATGATGCTGTCGTTATGGCCATTTTAAACCGTTTTAAAAAACAAAACTCGGGTTAAATGTAATCTCATTTCAACCAATAGCTCGGGTTAAATGTAATCTCATTTCAACCAATTCATTTCATCGATTTTTGCTGCATTTCAAGAATAAAACATAAATTTGCATAATTTACACTGCTTCGCATGACGCGTACATGTCGAAAGAATTATTCACTGGCGGAGGAGAATTTAATTACCAGAGCTGAAACTCTCAGGGTGTAAAGTATAGCTGTGGAAGTTGACGGAAAATTGTTTCTGTAATCAAATGAAGGTACCAGAGGCTGTTTTTAGAAGCTGAATTACCTCTGTTTTGGTAGACCGCAATGGTGACTGTTAAGGAAGGAAAATTTGTAGAAAATACCAAGAGAGTTTTCGAACGAAGGATGGCATATTACTTGGGCACAGTCTTGTTTTCGTTGGATAGTTTTTACGTTTCTGGTAACCGCCGAAAGAAATACAACAATTTGCATATTTAACTAAGCTAAAATCGAATTTCAAACTGTTGAAAATTCTCCCGTAAAACTAGTCGATGGAACCTTTAACTGTTTTCCTTAAAGACAATCATGCAAGGGAATTTTATGGCAAAATAAAGGAAAAATCGTTTCAGCCATGATGTGTAAAACTTTGGCCCGCCCTATCCCACAACACTCTTGTTAAAAACAAGAAGGTACTTAATGTGATTGCATTCTTATTGATTAAAACTCGGTTTTAGACGGAGTGAGTGATACTACCTACCAAAATCATACTAATGAGATACATTGTTCATCAAACTTCTCTTTCAGAAAATTCAAGCCATCAGAATTTTCATATCAAAGGTCCTTCTGTAAAAGATACCCCTTCTGTTAATATAACAACAGCATGCAAGCCTCACAAGTAAGGATACCAGCATATCTAATATATTATTGCTTACTGTTAAGATCAGAAAAGTCTGAATATCTCTTGAGAAACGTCCGGAAAGTTTCTAGTGTTGTGACCACTCACGTAAGGGATGGCAGGTCACAAGTTGCAGGTCAAAGGTCATGGGTCATACAGAACAGGTCACGGGTCAAGGGTAAAAGGTGATGGGAGATACCAGGGAAATACCACATAGATGTCTTACTCCTAATCTGCTTGCTTTCCTTGACTTGCTCATCATATTCCTGGCATTCACGGTCTTCTGAGTTTCGCAGTAATAGCGAGTAAAAATGTTAAATTAACATTTGATTGATAACTCTTCCTTGATTGTTTTTACTCCAGTTACCATTTGTTTCGTAGACATTTCTATGCGTATAACAACCACTTGTTTCTTCCCAGGAAAAGAATAGTATTAATTAATTAACCTGAAATATTCACTGAAAATAGCCTTCAATTACACACTCTCACCTCGGGATTTATTCTTTTGAAGGCCAGACAAAGTTGGGCAGGAACAAATTCTTAAATTTTATGGACCCCCAGGACGGCTGAAGGAACAAAAGTGTAAAGATAAACGTTACCCAGATATCTGTTCATACCAGTTAACTAAGATAATGGAACATAACGTGTCTTGTGATGTGAAGGTGTGTGGGTCTTCAAAGATTAAAATGGCTTCAGTGAATCCACAAATGGGGAAAGCTGTTGATGACTGGGAAACAATACCGAAGGAAAAACTTACTTATAAAGTACAGGAAGCAGTAAGAACTAACCTGGAAAATGGATTTAATTTCTTTTTTCTTAAATGTGGAAGGATTTATCAAGCCTTTAGTATCCCTCCTGTCTTCCAGAAAAATGAAGGTGATGAAAACAGAAGTGCTATCAATATAAATATTATTGTGTTGGACTCTATCTCAAGGCCACACTTCTATCGAACCATGCCAAAATCTATAGAGGCTTTGCGAAAGATAAAGGAAGATTCTACAATCAAGGCGACCTCCTTGGACTTTGAACTTTTTCAGAGCATTGGTCAACAGACTTTTGAAAACTTAAGGCCATTCTTCAGTGGTGTTCTGAAAGGTGATTTGACAAATTTCTTCGCTATTGTTAATTGATTTGTGATTGCTATGAGCTTTTTTAAGTGATCAGGCTTCGAGTGCTAGCCAAAAGAAAAAAGGGATACAGTAGTGGGATAAAAGAAATTCGTCAAAATCGGCAGTAGCTGTTAAAATTAGAACGTCGATCTAGAATGGGACTGGTTGTGATCATGAAGTCTGATAATCTGAGTGAAAGTTAGAAGTCTTGAAAAGAACTGTTGTTGGTTTTAGTAGTTTTAGTTGGTTGTCATGTCAACAACCTAAGTAAAGGTCATCATCAATGTCAACTGACTTCGTGATGATGTCTGCTCAGGTTTGTTAAATGTTTTGCAGTAGTTCTTTTCAGGACCACTGTCACCCAGAATGATCACCAGCTACCCCTAAGTGAAACCATTTGTTGTTGATACTAGTGGCAAATTAGACACAGGTAAAGATGACGCCTCTAAAGAAACTTATACTGATTAGTATTACTTTGTGTAGTATATTTTGTTTCAAACCTGATTGAAGCCGATATAGTTACAATGGGTGAGATTGCCACTACTACTATGACTTCTAATAGTAATAATGATATAATAACACCTTACTAAATTAAGTTGTAAATCTATCAGATGACAATGAAGTGAGTGCATCTGGAAAGAATACAAAGGCTCCTTTGGGTGTGGAAGTGCTATATGGAGCCTTCAAAAAGTGGGGCTACCAGACGTTCTTTCAAGAGGACCTTTGTTGGTACGATATATGGGGGACTGCATTAACAGATATAGAGAGGAGAGAAATGCCTAAAACAAATTCTGAATTCAAAGTTAGGTGAGTTTCCTAGTTATTAATTTGTGTCTTTGTGGATGTGCTTGAGTGGTGGGTGTTGGTAATGCTGGGCTTGGTTGCTAAAAGTTCTAAACACCTGGTTTAGTGATTTGGATCAATCAAGGTATTCTCCTTCTTTAAAACAAGAGAGAAATTGGTTCAGTCTCACTGAGCTAAAGATATGTTGGCTTATCTTAGTGTCCTTGGCGACAAGGAGTATTGCTTCCTCTCCCCTAATCCATTGCAGCTAAATGTCAGATGGTTTCCAGACAGTAACTTTTGCTACCTTTTACTGAAAGGACACGGGCACTTTGAGAGAGCGTCTTCCGTCTCCCTCAAGACCACGACTCAATCATCCATGGAGCCCAGTGAGTTAAGGCAAAAAAACCACTCGGGACCATAACCGATGTCCGTGGATTTTCATCCCGAAAATCTTTACCATAATAAGAGGATAGTATCAATTGAGTGCTGCAATAATTATTTGTGTGAGATGAGAGTGTCAAATTTTTCTTAACAGGTGGAAAGAATTTCAGAATAAGATGACTAAAAAGATGATTGACCATGTTGGTATCACACATTTTTCCTGTACTGTGTTGGCCAGAGTTGGGAGGACCAATCATTATGACAAACCTAAAAAAATATGTCTGAACGGGCGATTTTTTGATTGGTACTTCTTTAACTACATAACAAGAGTGTACACTGCTCTAGAAAAGAACAGAAAAGCCAAACCGTTGGTATCGTACATGCATTTCAATACGGGACACGAGATGACAGGGAAACGGATGATCAACATGGATACCGGTTTAGCAAAGTTTGTCATGGATATGGCTTCATTTCCAAACACCTTGACTATGATATTTTCAGACCATGGTCACAAAACGACTCCATTCAGTTTCACTGAAGAGGGAAGGAGAGAGTTATTTGATCCAGTGTTCTTCATGATTGTCCCTAATGGAGTTAAGGAAAAAATAGGATCAGAAAGAATGGTAGCGTTGGTAACAAACCAAAAGCGCCTCTTTATGTTGTATGATGTTCACAAAGCACTCATGAGTTTGCATGATTCTCAGAAAAAGGACTCGAAAGATTATTTAGTTTCTGGAATATTTTCAGAGATTCCGGCAAATCGCACATGTGCAGACTTGTACATGCTCCCCTTAACAAGATGCAAATGTGAAGGTTTTGATGAAGCAATTCTAGTAAACGACAATGCGAACGATCACATGTGGTTGGCAGAATTTGCTGTGGGATACATGAACAATGTTATTCAAAAACAATACATGAGTGGTAAGATGTCTCCTGTATGTTATTTTCCGTTGTTTCACCTTGCTCTTTCTCTATTTGATGGGCAACCGTCTGGAATTAGCTTTTTAATTACCTATGCAAAACAAATTTTCACTTGGCCTCTAAATATGTTCTCATCAAATTAAAGAAAGAGTGGTGGAATGGGTTAGGAAAGATAAAGTGTGCTGGTTTGGGTTGAAGTAAAAAGCTTAATTTAAGTGAGATGAAGCGTTATGAGGTGAGAAAAGATAAGGTGGGGTATGGGGAATTGGGATCAATGTTAGTATCTGAGCACCTGCACACCTACCCCTCACCTTACCCAAAATAAACCGCCCCTAGAGGGGAGGGAGGTGTAAAGTTGCCCAGATACTTGACTTTTATCTGGGAATTGCAGGGAGGGGAGATTTCTGACTCTCAGAAACAAAATGCGTTAGGTTTGATTTTCATTCATTTTTCAATCATTATTATCAGGAATTAGTGACTCAAAGAAACAGTATGGCTACGGAAACTGCCAGCGCTTAGTTGGAAAATCATTTAAGAAGGTTGTCAAACGATTTCGAGGAGAATACATCCTGACTTCCATGGACATTCACGTGTTCCCTCCAGCCGGATACACGGAAGATGAAGTCTTTAAAGTCTCTGTTAAACAGTTTGCAAAACCAAAGCAAGGAGTATTTTTCCTTAGTTCTATCCGGCAAACGATGTACAACAAGTTTGCCTCATGTGCAGATAAGTCAGTGGGTATCAAGCTCTGTGCATGCGCTAAAGAGGAAGCTGCTGACGCCACGAAGAAAGAAGTGTTGTTTGACAATGTCGTTCCACGCAAAATGTTTGGTTCGAACACAATTGTGAGAGACTTGGATTCCAACTGTTTGCTATTCTTGCGACGGAATTATGGAACATTTTCATTTGCATTGGAAGTGGCAAATATTTGTTCAAATCGAACTTATAAATTTAAACTAACAGGCTCTATGTATCAAAGGATATTCTCTAATACTGTCCCTATCAAGCGGAAATTATTCCCAAAGACTATTTACTTTTTAACCTCTGTGTACAAATACCTTTCAAAAGTAAACTATCCTTTAGGATTGAAAGCAAGTGTGAAGGTTAAGAAGGATGGATCAGACGCTTTTACTAATTTGGGGACCTTCAGTGTTTCATGACATTCAGAATGTTACAACAGTGTTATATGATTTTTGGCTCCTGTATAATGAAAATGTTCACTTAAACCGTCATCTAGAATTCGAGAGCGGATCACTCACCATAATTATCATCTTTTCTTGGCGTACTTAAATTTGTTGCCGAGCATCATTTTCTTTGACTATTTACAATCCATTTACACCTTTGTCAAATTCAACTTTTTGCATTTGCCTGCGCGTCTGAACAATGTTTATATCAAAATTACAAGATTTAGTACTTACAGAGATATGCAATTTTGCACTCACAAATGTCTGCTCAATTCATAAACAATTACTGAATGATGCATACATTGCCTAACGTCGTTTAAGATTATAAATAATTACGGTTAACCTGGAGGACTGATTGAAACCTTAGTATAATAATACATAAACGACTCTGTAGATGCTTAAGATACTTTGTTTTAGGAGCTTAAACATCCTTAACAAGGGCTTCTTCAGCAGAGGAAAATAATGTTCAACGGCAAGGTTTATCATTCAACATCACCTTATAGGTCAATATAAATTAACAAGATATGAAATTGTGATTGTTGTAACAGTGCTAATTTATGCATGATTATCGCGAAGTCCTGGTACAGGTTTGTTACCAGGCCCCGTATGTTGCTCGCGTCATTCTTGCACTCAACTCTCAGACTTGGAATAAATGTATTGTGTTTACATGAAACTTCTGTGTCCTTTCTCGCTGCTGTTAGTTCTTCGGATAAAGTCACAATTGTAGCCCAACAAAACCAAACCTTCACATCAGACAGAGCTAAAAAAGTTTCCCCAAGTCTATCAGTGCCTAGCCAACAACTGCATATTTTTTTATTTTTTTATTTTTATCATTTTTGACACAACAATATTTAATATAATATCGTCGTGTTTATCTACCAATTTACTAGTTCGCTTTCATGATTTTTATCGCTTTACGTTTAAGCCTAAGTATGTTTGAAAATACAAATGTAAGTAACTTTAATCTTAAAAGTTACTGTTGTATTTTCAACATGTCATTGATATTCATACTGTTACTAATAAACTGTGTTAAATGTTATTTTTGGGCTCAATTGGGCCTCCATGATATGTTCCTAGAAATCATCCATCATTGTGTAGTTTTCTTTCATTGGCCAAGTAAACCGTGAAACTTGGGTTGAAATCTTTTATAATTTTACCTTTCAAAACAAATGAGACAAATTTTTAATCATAGCAACACTGCATAAGCACTGATGATAAGAATTACCTTTTTATTACGCGATACCACCATCCTAAACTAAATTTCTTGCTCCAAGCGTAAGAGTTACTAGTAACAAAGTGAGACACTTAAGTATTCGCCTAAATTCATAAAACTTTAAGCTTAATCGCTTTAACTCGTTTTATATCGTCTGAAGCCTGGTATTTGTCTCCGGATCTCGTACAACGCCTGGAAGCGTCTTTTGTTATTTATTTTGTTTTTCATCTGTCAGTTTATTTACGTAAACTTGTAGTAACTTATCATTTTTTATTTTTTTACTTCGCTTCAATTCTTCAATTCGTTTTGTTTTGTTCGGAAGTATATTAAAGAGCCGTTTTGTTTTGGACGTGTACGAGTATATTTGACCATCACACCTGGTAAAATAGAGAAACTTAGGAGCAAAATTTGCACGTCATCCTAAAGGTAATCGGGTATTCTTTGGGTTGTGGCAGCGTTTTAACTTTTTCCAGTCCATAAAACATTAATGACAGGTGCAATTGTTCCGTAAATTACCCAATAGAAACAGAAGAAATTTACCGAGAAAAAGCCGCATTAAATTCCTTTGGGTGTAGATTAAGTGGGTAATTTGAGTCAAGTTTTCTGGTAAAAGGCGGAAACACCAGATTTACACACGATACTGCCGCAAGCAAACGAGTACAGTTGTTGTTATTGTTTTTTTTTTAAAAAAATGTGCATCCTCTTTTTTTTTTCGTTCGCGCTCTCTCTCTCTCTCTCTCTCTCTCTCTCTCTCTCTCTCTCTCTCTCTCTCTCTCTCCAAAATGCATGCAATCGTTTTTTGGAGATCGGAAAAACTTTTCGTCCTACATTTCCTTCTAGTGAGTTGTAATGTTCGCCCCATGGCGATCCCAGAAATATGTGCGCAAACACAGGGATCGATTACTAGCAACTCATTTATTAACAGGTGTCAGATGGTGACAGATATTTGGGAAAAAAATTGTTTCAGAGTTTGTTCGGAAGCGATTTAAATCACCTTTTTCATTATATAAATGAAAACATCTCGGTGAACACTCTTTTTGATTTGCATTACCTGTGTTTTAACTAACATTTACTCGCTCAAAAATTGTATAGTTTATGGAGGATTTTACCGTAATTGCAGCCTTAGATCGTTCGGGTTTTTTGGCAAGCATTTCGTTAAGTTGTAGAAAAAGATAAAAATGTTATTCACCAGCCGAGGTCGGTCCGAACTGGGCAAAACTGTGCCCGCGGTCTCGAGTGGTACTCAAAACAGAGGGCACAGTTTTTCCAAATACGGACCTCCCTACTGGTGAATGACACATATTTATTAGGGCGGGTGCGCATAATCATTGGAGCAGTTTTGGACAGACGGTCGAAAAACGAAAACGAAAGTAATCACAAGAGCTGATGTTAACAAACTCCAACATCAGCACTAGCCAATGAGAAGTTAAAATTAGTACTGAGAAGCGTAACCAGAGGTTACTACTCATTTTCTTTATACAGTTTTTGTTTTCCATACATTGGGAGAAGGGAAGGCGTTTTATGTTGACCAATCACAGAGCAAAGTAACGCAAATGTAATCGTACCCACATCATAGCTTGCGACTCTTCCAGTGCTTGTCAGTTACGAACATGTAATTGTGATCGGGGAAGGTGTTAAGGTGTTTTCTTTCTTTAAATTAATAGTGCTTCAGAATTATACTGGTGAAAAGTAGCCTTTTTCAGGGCTTTCTCAATTTCCTGAAACTTCTGGCAGAATGATTCCGAGAAAGCGGAAGTCGATGGTAAGTTTTTTTGGAAATTTTCTTTTAAAACAAACGACGCAAGGCAGCCGTGTATGCTCTTGACTGGTCTTGATGCTTAGCAAAGGTTCTTTCAAGTCTTTTGAAAGTATTGGATACTTGTTTGTAAGTTTTAAGCTATCCCAGAAATGATATCTGTTTTCTAGTTGATATATCCGAACTTGTGCGTACTTTAAACGAAGAGTTCTCGGCTTGTGCCTACCATAAGTCGCTGGATGTTTTAATCGATAATTCAGGGTGAATGCCGGTAGCCAGGCGGATATTCCTCGAATTCCCCACAAAGGACCTCACTTAAACTTAATGTCAGCAACAACTGATTGTTAAAAAAGTGTCATGTGAATCTAAAATTATTTTGGTTTTAAGGTGAACGAACGTTTTGAGCTTGTGCATTAGTACTTTAGACATCTTCAGTTCGAAATTACCCGTGGAAAGAAGAGGCAAGTTTGGATCGAAGTGCGAAAGCCACATGACATTCGGAATCGCTATAAATTCTTATAAAACAAGTGATGATTTCTGGAATTTTGAAAGAACCTTTCCATGAAAATTAAATTTCTGGCTGCATGGCCTTTTACTTCACTAAGAGTGGTGTTTAAGTTCATTTAGGACCGCGCTCGTCTACAGGTTATTTAGATAAATGTGTTAGAACCTTAATTTATCCAACTCATCAGAGATTCAACCCATCGTTGACATAGCTTTCGTAAACTTGTTACGGGATAGAATCTGTCTTTATTATATTTTTATTGCCTGTTTATCTCTTACTTATATCGGTGTAGAAGACACAGTTGGTTTAAAACAATAGGGAACAATTCCCCTATTCGAAATTTTTGTTTATTAAGAGCCAAAATTCTTATCACAACAATAATTTGATTGCGATTCTTTCAAGAAGAATCAAGCTCCTAGCGACGAGATTGAATGGCTAGAGGAGAATTCTGGTAAGAATGTTTTCCATCTGAATACCTTGAGACGAATCTCTATTTCAGAAACTCTTGCCAATAGATCAGGAATTCTTTCCTCTAGAACGAGAATTCTATTCATTAGGCAATGAAGTATTATAGTTTTCCTGGAAAGAATGTTTAATTGAAAATATTATGAAGGGAATTCATAAGAGAAGAAGCAGAAACCTTGTCGAGAATTCTTATAACCAGACTTTTATTAAGTAAACTTTCACTGCCAGTAACTTTGATTTATACACCCAAAGAGCTGATGTAGTCTTTTCAGCCTTGTTACCTTACAGTAGTGGAGAACGGACGTACATAAACGATTCCTTTGGAAGTCAAAAAGCGATGTCATGGCGGCGATAATTTACATTAACATTTCGGTTGAAAATTCGCATCACCAAAATTACTAACGTTAGTAGCGAAAGACTCATCTGAGGGTTTGAGCTGTTCCCAAATAGTCCTTAGGTATACAGTAGACCTTCAAGGACCAATTTTCTTCTTCTTTATGCTTTTTTCATGTCAGGCGGAAAATTCCAATGTTTCAGCCCGCTCAAAATGTGAAAGCGTTAATTAAGAACTGCTGAGAAATTTTTGCAAAACAGTGCATAGGAAGAAACTAAGACAACAGTTTTAGTTGTCAATGCTAAAATGTAAGTGATCCAAAAAATATGAGAGGGAAGTGCGCAACACAAGGTACTGAATTTGATTCAATTTAAGTGATTGTGAGATTGTCGACGGTCAACCCTGTTTATGTATAATTTGACAAATAAATTAGCTTCATAAAAGTTAATTTTTACCATCTAGTTCCAAATTGCTTAAGTATACTACTTGGTTAATTAATAAACAGGCTTACACTCATCAAATTTTACTGGTATGTTGTATGTTTGTAGAAGTTTTAGCCATGATTTGCTAAATCGAACTGCACTGATTATGGCATAGTAGGATTCAATGTAATCACAAAGTGACATAAATACCGAATGCTCAGCTTGATTTATGAGGCAAAATAAAATTGTTATGAAGAGTGATTATAACCCTGGAATGCATAGTTTGATTT